TTTATTGTGGAGATGAGGTCTCACTAAGTTGCCCAGGTGAACCCGCAGGCTCAGGCAATCCACTCACCTCAGTCTCCCAAAGCGTGGGATTACAGGCTAGGCCACCGAGCCCGGCTCTAATTCTGTATTTCTAACAAGCTTCCCAGTGATGCTGCTGTTGTGGTTAGGTGGACCACACTTTGAGTAGCAAAACTCTATGTAAAGTCAACCTGTCAAGTCACTCAAGAATTTTTTTTTTTTTTTTGAGTCAGTCTCACTCTGTTGCCCAGGCTAGAGTGCAGTGGCACACTCACGGCCATTGCAACCTTGACCTGCTGGACTCAGGTGAGCCTTCCACATCAGCCTTCCAAGTAGATGGAACCACAGGTGTGTGCCATCACACCCAGTAATTTTTGATTAATTTATTGTAAAGATGAGGTCTTGCCAAGTTGCCCAGGTCTCACCAAGTTGCCCAGGCTGGTGTCAAACCCCTAAGCTCAGGCAATCCTCTTGCTTCTGCCTCTCAAAGTGCTGGGATTATAGGCATGAGCCACCACACCCAGCCTCACACATCACAACTTATGACATTTTGCACCTCCATTATGCTTTCAGCCTGCACCAACTCTTGGTAAAAACAAAGTTCGTCATATTGCCATCCTTTGTGTAAAGGTCTGAAAGTACAATTGATTCTCATTATTCGTGGTAGTTTTGTTCTATAAAGCAGCCAGAACACTACATTAGCCAATACCTATTTAGTTCCTAGAGGAAACATAGGGTTAGGTTCCTGTGAGCCTCTGGTCAAAACACTTTCATCAACCAATCAATATACAACCTCGTTTCTGTTTAAAGACGTCTTATATATGTTGTTGATTAATTAACACTGAACTCACAGCTAACAGTTCTTTAACGTCTGCCTGAATGAAGCTTATCTAACACAAATATTTCTCTGTAAGGCACATCACAGTATTCTGGTGATAAAGGACACCAGAGAACACTTTAGCACTAGGCTTGGGGTCATTTTAAACAGTGAAACCACCAACAAAAAGCACAAAAATGCAAAAATGTAGCAGTAAATATACCGTGAAATGACACCTGCTTACAGTATGAGAGTTCAAACAAGAAAAGAGAGCATTTCCTTGTCCAACCTCACCTTGCAACTGTGCACTCAGATATCTCATCACTGTGCACATACCTACCTAAGACCATTAAAGTGCTGTCAGTACTCATTTGGGAGTTCCTAATCAATTTTAGTGAATAGGCAAATTCTCAAATATGGAACCCATGAATAATGAGGATCAACTATACCTCCTTGTAGTATCAAGGGCTGCCCATATCTCATTTGCCAGACTCAGTGCCCAAGTTCATGTTTTCCTTCCTCGCATCCTTCTTTTTTTTTTTTTTTTTGAGTTGGAGTCTCACTCTGTCACCCAGACTGGAGTGCAGTGGCCGCTCCCGGCCACCGCAGCCTCACCTGCTGGGCTCCAGCGATCCTTCCGCCTCAGCCTCCCGAGTAGCCGGAATTACAGGCATGCGCTACCACGCCCGGCTAATTTTTTGATTTATTGTAGAGATGAGGTCTCGCTGCCCAGGCGGGTCTCAAACCTGCGGGCTCAGGCAATCCACTCCCGGCATCTCTCTTGGCTTCCGCTTCTCCAATCCGAGCATCTTTTTGAACCTGAGCTGTTCGAGCCTTGCCCAGAGAGTGCAAATAGTCCTGTGGGAGAGGAATAGAAATCGGAGTCCTCAAGAGGGTTTAAGAGACAGGAGCTGAGAAGTGGGGAAAGATTAACTGCCTAGTTTTACCTGATCATCGTGAATGTCCTTTAGGGTGTAGCTAACCACACTGATGCCCATGTTAACCAGATCTGAGGAAGCCACTTTGAAAACTTGCTCTGAGAATTTCTGCCGGTCCTTATAGATCTCCTGTGGATGACGGGAAGAAGAAATATAAGCTCTCAGATCCACTGTCTCTCACAGACTAGCT